ACAGCAGCCAATACAAATTTGAATGGTCTCTGGGATATGCATATATTATATTATATTATATTATATTATATTATATTATTATTATATTATTTTTGTTGTTGTTGTTGTTAGAGACAGGGTCTCACTGTATTGCCCAGGCTGGTTTTGAACTCCTGGGTTAGCTTGGCACAGTTGTTCATGTCTGTAATCGCAACATTTTGGGAGGAGGCGGCAGAAAAACTGCCTGAGTCCAGGGGTTCAAGACCAGTCTGGGCAACATGGTGAGATCTCAGCTCTACAATAAATCCCCAAAATAAGCTGGGTGTGGTGGTACATGCCTGTGGTTCCAGCTACTTGGAAAGCTGAGACGGAAGGATCACCTGGCCCAGCAGGTCGAGGCTGCAGTGGCTGTGAGTGTGCCATTGCACTCCAACCTGGGAACAGTGAGACTCCTACACAAAAAGAAAAGAAAAGAAAAGAAAGAAGGAAGGGAGGAAGGAAGGGAGGAAGGAAGGAAGGAAGGAAGGAAGGAAGGAAGGAAGGAAGGAAGGAAGGAAAGAAAGAAAGAAAGAAAGAAAGAAAGAAAGAAAGAAAGAAAGAAAGAAAGAAAGAAAGAAAGAAAGAAAGAAAGAAAAAGAACTCCTGGGCTCAAGTGATCCTCCTGCCTCAGCCTCCTGAGTAGCTGGGACTATAGGTGTGTGCCACCATGCCTAGCTGGGATATACTCTTTAAAAAGTCAGTGGAGAAAAGTGTGTTTTTGTGCTACCATTTATCCAAGAAAGAAAATACAAATACAGATGCGCATATATGTGTGCGTATATGTTCACATGTATATTTATGTACATGTAAGTATATGCACATAAGTATATATTTGCATATATATGCTTATGTACAGTATGTGTATATATCTGCTTATAACAATGCAAGAACTACATCTTGTATATTTGTCTTCGGAGCTGTGTCACTCTTTCATATAGTCATAAAATAAAATTTAAGAGACCAATCCATAAAAACCAAAAGAAAGTGAACACACGTGGATCCGACCGATAGCTTAACCACACAGAAAGGAAGTATTCCATTACTGTACATCAGAGTAATTTGACTGCCCATTCCTAGTGAGATATCCCTTCAGGACTAAAATAACTGCAAGAAAATTTTCAATCAATTTTCAATCATTGCAGTATATTGTTAGTGGCAGTGTTGGTAGTGTTATTCTGAAACTGTTGTGTATATGTGTCACATGGGAAAAAGCAAACAAGTAATTATGTGATATTCTATTAGTATCATCCTTTCTTTTATCCTTACAAAAAGAAAATGGCCAGGCATGGTGGCTCATGCCTATAATCTCAGAGATTTGGGAGGCTGAGGCAGGAGGATTGCTTGAGCCCAGGAGTTCAAGACCAGCCTGGGCAACATAGCAAGAACTTGTCTCTACAAATATTCAAAAACTTAGCCGGGCATGGTGGCACGCACCCATAGACCCAGGAGGCTGAGGCGGGAGGATTGCTTGAGCCCAGGAGTTCGAGACCAGCCTGGGCCACATAGCAAAACCTTACCTCTACAAATATTCAAAAACTTGCTGGGCATGGTGGCATGTACCTGTAGCCCCAGGAGGCCAAGGAGGTCGAGGCTGTGGTGGGCCGTGAACATGCCACTGCACCCCAGCCTGGCTGACAGTGAGAACCTGACTAAAAAAAAAAAAAAAAGGAAAAAGTTCACAAGTGTTATTCATAATAGTAAAAAAGTAGAAAAAGTGAAAACCATCTAAGTGTCCATCAGCTGATAAGAGAAGAACAGAATGTGGCCTATCCATAAATGGAGACTATTCAGCCACTAGAAAGAATGAAATCCTGACACATGCTACAATGTGAACCTTGGAAACACTGTGCTGTGTGGAAGAAGCCAGACACAGAAGACCACATGCGCTGTGATTCCATTTACATGAAATGCCCAAAATAGGTAAACCCACAGAGACACAAAGTGCATTGGTGGCTGCTGGTGGCTTGAGGGAGGGAGGAATGGCGCATGATTGTTCACGGGTTGAGGACTTTTTTGAGAGGTGATGCAAATATTCTCAAATTGTTTGTGGTGATAACTGCCAACTCTGAATACACTAAAAGCCACTAAATTATAGGTTTAAAGTGGGTAAACTGATAGCATGTGAATTATATCTCAAGAAAGCTGTTACCAAAAAACCAACATAGACATTTCAAAAATTCCAGTAAGTGGACCATATTTAGATTCTTCTGTTCAAAGAGTGAAACAAATGACACATGACCATTGGAGAGGTGAGACTTGGCTATTTAGTGACAGGAAGTATGACATGCTAAGGTATGATTAGGGAATTGTGTATGTTTCTCTTTTAGCAATATATGAGTATACTGGAATACTTCAGGTGAAATGGTAAGGTGTGGAATTTACTTCAGATGTGGGGGGCAGAGGTGGTGGTGAGCCAGGATGGACCATGGCCTATCAGGCTGCAGTGTGGGGTGGGGGGGGGGTTGGAGCACATGCGGTAATTTACACTTCTTTCTGACTTTATAGCTCTAGTTTTCTATTGAAAAATAAACCTTTTTACATATTTAAGACTCCACAATTAAACATCTTTTTCCACAAAACCACACATTTCCACTCTGTTCTTAAGGCAGGTTAGTTTAATTTTATAGAAGAAATCATTTCAAACAATACAAATGGCACAATTAGAGAGAACAGTGACAAGAACAAAGAGATGAATACTGATTAGAACTTATTTCCACAACAGAAGGCTAATTATTTCTGCAATTATCGATCAAAGCCTGACAATTCAGTGATTAGATGAAGTGAAAGCCAAATTCCCTTTTACACGTGACTGATTCTGAGGAGCCGTGGTGGCAGAATCTGATCGTTTCTGGACCAGACCTGCTTGTCAAACCTGGCAGTTTCCTTTATTACCAGGCCTGGTAGATGGACACATTTAAACATCAGAGGAAAACACCCATCAGGCCAGCAGGACTTCACTTTTCTGGCGCATGGGATATTTTCTGGGGAGTGGCAGGCTTAACCAGTCAAGCTGCAAAACCATGGCAGGAATGAGAAAAAAAATAGGGTGCTCCATGGCCTGCAAAGGCGGCCTAAATGCCTGCATCTGTCCAGGACCACCCGCTCACCCGCTCACCCACCCCCTCTGTCTTCATTGTCTTTTCTGGCCACTGCGGTCAGTTGCAGAAGCAGACAGGGGGAGCCAGGGACAGGAAAAGAGGAAAGGTGGCAGACATGAGTGCTCCTGGACTGGCACCAAAGCAGGGGCTGCATTTGCTTCTCGTGGGGCATCAGTGGGATTCTTTTTCTACAAAACCTAGCTAGGCATAGTGGCATGCACCTATAATCCCAGCTACTAGGGAGGCTGAGGTGGGAGGATAGCTTGAGCCCAGGAGATCAAGGCTGCCAATGAGCTGTGATTGCACCACTGCACTCCAGCCTGGGTGACAAAGCGAGACTCTGTCTGAAATAAAAACAAAAACAAAAACAAAAAACCTTTAGGGAGCCTGGTGGGGGAGAAATCGGTATAAAGTGGGCAGTGGCATTTATTTGAAAACGCTTGTCTGGGGGCTTTCTGTACCAGCACAGTGGGTTTTGCTACTTAGGGTTGACAGAAAACTTGCTTCAACCCTCAGCCCACTTAGAGACGGGAACGATCTGCCCTGCACATCTAAGTCCAGCAGCGGGTGCTTTTGTGTTGTGGTTGCCAGTTTCCACAGCTGCTGGGCTTAGAGAGGGCCTGCACAGCTACGCTGTCTGCTGCCCGGCAGTGCTGGGGGTGGGGGGATGTTTTGGTGCTTGCGTCTCTCTACCTGTGGTGGACACATGTAAAAAGGAATTGGCAAAAAAAAAAAAAAAAAAAAACTAGACTAGAGGCAGAAATACACAGCAAGAGACAACAATCATGAAAAGGCTGAAGATTTCAGTCTTACCACCACTGACAAATCCCCTTGTCTGTGATAGGTCTCGTGTCAATGAAATGCTTTTACACAGTTTTTAATAAATGTAAAAGGGAAAGCAGATTATATAAGGGGGGCTACAGACTGATGAGAAGAGAGGCCTGATCAAAAGGGACATTTCTAAGGGGAGGGAGGAAAGATTAGGAAGAGAGTTCTGAGCTCTGTTTCGTTGCCATTTCCTGTGACCCACCTCATTTGCTCAGTCGAGGCCTCATAAAGGAGAGTGCATTTCATATAAAAATAAATACGCACTAGGCAAATAAGTCTAGCATTTGGCATTTAAAAGAATCATGGTAGATTTTTATTACATTACCATGTTTTTCCTCATGAGCTAGCTCTAAAATTTCTTGAGGAATGCTGGGTAGACTCCAGCATGGGGGCATTCTGATAGAAATCAAATCTTCTCCTGCAAATAACTTACTGGGTAGGTCGAGTCACCCACACGTCCTTCCCTCCCCCAAAAAGCACCTTTAAAGGTGATCGTGTCTATGTCGTAACTGCTAGGTTCACCCCTAGGTTCACCCACAGAGTCACTGACTACGGGTGTCCCGAGTTCCCTTTTCACTTTCCTTCATGAAATAGGTGGCAGGAGTTCTATCACCACCATCCCCCTTGTCTGTTACACACAGACGGGGTGGGTGGGAAGGCAGACTGCACGTGGTCTGAGAACGCGGGCGGCGTAGACAGCCACCATGGACGGGCAGGTGGAAGTCCGGGATGCCGGGGGCCCTGTCACCTGCTTCAGACTCGTGGTAGCACAGAAAGATGCATCGGAAGACAACACAGAAATGGGGAGCAGTCAGTGCCTAACCCACATGGGACACTGACCTCTGCAATGCACACACGCTTGTGAATGACGATGGAATCACTGCAGGTGACACTTTAACATAACACAAAGGGGGGAAGTGTACACTATACATGGTAAATGCACATATGCGAAACTGATACGAGCGAGTGACAAATCTAGCACATAGCGTTTGCGTCTCAGGTGTCAAAAACAAAACCGGCCCCAAGTTCCATTCTACTGCATGACAAGTACTGAAGAACAAAATTTCAGTCTTAAAATACATCTTAAAGTCAGTATTTTCCTTCAAGGAAAAAAAAGTACTATAAATAAATTACAATACAGTGAATTTGCCTGAACTCACTTCGTTTCTGTCTTTCCAGCCTTTATGTCAAATAAAACAGCGTAAAAACTGTACATTCTAAACATGATAGTTGATCTTTTATAAAATAACCTGTCTCCAGAGATGTCAATTTCACAACAAGGAAAAACCAAGCCCTGTTGCCGTCGCTATTATAAAATATATATGTATAGATATATGTGCTTTTTTACAAAATGTGTATATTAATAGCTTTGCACAAATATTTTAAAGACAAATTTAGCTAGTCTAAGAACTTCATGAAAATAAAGCAGGCAGGCAAACACTCCATGTGCACGGTGTACTCCATCAGACGTCGTCGGCTGGGAGGGGAGGTATGCCGAGCCTTGGCCTTGTAAAAAATGCTATCTTCTCCCTGGGGTGGGAAGAAATCACAGGTTAGATACGATCTGAAGACACTGAAAGGTGGCAGCTCTCGTGTCAATGAAGGTTCTTATTACAGAACAAACTGAATTTAAACCCTCAACAACACATCTGTTTATACCTAGATGTCCACATTTTAACAGAAGTTCTGAAGCCTCTAAGGGCAGTGGTTTCTTTATCTCCAGTGCCTAGAACAGTGCCTGGTATATATTAGGCACTCAGAAAATATTTATTTTATTAATAAATAAATGAAAAAATAAAACACTATATGAAATTAAAGGTATACAAAAATTAAGGCTCAAAGTCAGGCACATATTTTATAGCCTCAAGAAGGAAGGATGCACTGATACACATGCTACAATGTGGATGAACCTTGAAAATATAATGTTCAGTGAAAGAAGCGAGACACAAAAGGCCACATACCTATGATCCTATTTACATAACACAGTCAGAAATCCCTAGTGACAGAAGCTGATTGGCAGTTGCTAGGGCTGAGGGAGGAGAAATGAGAGGTGACTGCTTAATGGGCCTGGGGTTTACTTTTGGGGTGACGAAAATGTTTCAGAACTAGATAGGGGGGATGGTCGCATAGCACTGTGAATGGATCAAAGGCTACAGTTCACTTTAAAATGACTCATTCTGTATTATATGGATTTCACCTTAATTTTTCACAGACACAAAATAACACAGATATATCTGTAGAAATCTCTTCATATAAAACACAAAAACAGGCAAAACTAATCAGTGCTGTTAGAATTCAAGGCAGTGGTTACTCCAGTGTGGGAAATAGGGGGTGTTGATAATGTTCGATTCTCATGATATAAAGCTTGGGACAATTCACTGGACTATGTATGTATGATATATACTTTCCTATATGCGTCTTTTGCTTCAATCAAAGGCTAATTAGTTAATTAATTGCTTTTTTAGAGACAGGGTCTTGCTCTGTCACCCAGCCTGGAGTTCAGTGGTGCGATCATAGCTCATTGCAGCCTTGAACTCCTAGACTCAAGTGATCCTCCTGCCTCAGCCTCCCTGAGTAGCTGGGACTATAGGCACACACCGCGACACCTAGCTAATTTTTAAATTGTTTTGTAGAGATGGGGTCTCGCTGTGTTGCCCAGGCTAGCATTGAACTCCTGGGCTCAAGCAATCCTCCTACCTTAGTCTCCCAAAGTGCGTAAGTCAATCAAAGTTTAATTTAAAAAGCAAAAGTGACCATATGTATACATATGTAAATCACTGTTACCTACAAAAGCAAACATTTGGAAAGATGCAGCATGTTATAAAATAGAGTAGCTGGGTAAATTATACCTACTAGATGAAATGTTACAGTCAAACAAGATAAGAGATGATGTAGCAACATGGAATATTTTAATCTAAAAAATACTAAATGTAAAATTGAACCTGCATTATGATTACAGGTAGTGCAAAAAAACTGCGTAGAAAAAAAAAAGTTCAGAAGAAAACACCAAGTGGCACTGATAGTAGGGAGCTGGTCACAATGGATTCCTGTTTTGTTCTTAACTTCCCATAAGTGTTTTGAACACTTCCTGTAATTTTGATCATAACAAAGATGCAACAGTAAGAAGCAGCAGTGACAAGCACAGCCGGGCGGTTTGCATTTCTCCCATACCGAAAGGTCTGCACTTGGATGGGCTCTTTGTGGTTCTGCCCACGCAGCTGGTAGATCTCCTTGGAGGCCTTCTTCAGCATCTTCTCGGCTGCCTGTTCTTGGTGGTAGTCAAGTTTGGTCTGTCTTGTCTGGAACAGCAAGAGCAGATGAACAAGATGTTTTCATTGTTCTTTTTTAGAGGAAGAATAAATGAGTTCCCTCCTAGCCTTGGAGCCCAGAAGAAATGGCCACAGTCAGTGGGAATCAGGAGGGAAGAAAGGTCCACCTCACCCATACCCCTAGAAATTCTTCACTGGAAACGCTGGGGGTGGCTGGAGTCAGGCCTGCAAACTTGGGCCCCAGGCTCCTTCAGCCCCACAGCCTCCAGATGTATGCTGGCGCCACCACAGACGCCGCCCTCCCGGCCCACAGAGGGAGAGAACTGGCTCCACAGGACAAGTGCTTGGATGATTTGAGCTACAATGTTTTACCCAAGCTGCCCACGTCACAGGCCAAGCACAGCTGAGCCTAGGGCGGTGATGGCGAGCAGGCAGGAGTTGGCCACCAGAGGGAGCCCGAAGCAGGCCCGAGCCTCACCTGCCTCTCGGCTTCCTTCAGCAGACTGCGGAACCGCTCGTCCCGAAGCACCCAGGGCGGGAGGTCGGTCTGGCCGCGGAGCTGGGCGTCCTCCAGTCGTTGCCGCAGATCGCGGAGGGCGCAGAGCTCCTCGTTCAGCTGCCTCTGCCGTGTTCTTGACGCCTGGAGATCCAGCTCCAGGTCCAGGGAGGTGCGGGCCATGAGCTCGGCCAGGGAAGACCTGCAAGACTGCAGGAGACAGCAGCCATGAGCGCATGCTCTGGCCTTCTAGAAGTTTCTTCCATAATTAACAGGAGACAGATGAGGCACAGGTTCTTCTCTAAGCATGGCCCAAGGTTAAAAAACAGATTTGGGCAAGATGAATGTGAACATGTAGTTCAATTCAATAACAGCAAATGGTTTTTTAAAATGATGACCTATGTACTTACAAAAGTGTGGAACAACAGACCCTCTTAAATGGGGCAGACGGGATCAAAAATGGGCACAATGTTTCTGAAGTGCCATTTGACAAGATGTCTAAAACAAGCTTGCTTCCAAAAGGCACAACTTGCAAAAGTGGACGAATTAAGGTTTATGACAGAGGAAAAAAACCCTGAAATCTCTAACAGCAGGAAACTGATTGAGTAAATTACAAGAAAGCATAAGATGCAGCCAGTGTAAAAAGTTGAAAAAATATACTGACATAGAGACATCTTAATGACCCACTGTAGGGGGGAAAAGCATGTTACAAATCACATGAGCATCTTTTATTTTAAAAACTATGCACGCACACACCTGTGCAAGCACACACACACACGTACAAACTGTCAAAAACTTTCCTCCCCATGTAAGCCTCAAGTAAGCAAATACGCTATGTTCAGAAAAGCCCGACAAGGTGAAAAGATTCTGTCCATGGAGTTGAAGCAGAACCCTGGGAGGGCAGTTACTGCGTCAAAGCCACAAACCCATCAGCAGATCTCCACTGGGCAGTGGACTGAGTAACTGCATGCTTTTCACACACAACAATATTTTGCACATGCACAAAATTTAAATGCAAATTTGGGCTGTAATTTAACAAATACAAATTCGTTTAAAAGCACTGCTGAATTCATAGCAGCACTCAGTGGTTCTCAAGCAGGGGCAATCTGGCCCCTCAGGGACATCTGGCAATGTCTGAAGACTGGATTGTCACGATTGGTGTGGGGGGGCAGTGCTCCTGGCACCTGGTGGGTGGAGGCCAGCAATACTGCTCAATATCCTACAATGTACTGGACAACCCCACAGCAAGGAACAATCTCGCCTAAGATGTCAGCAGTGTTGTAAAGGAAGTATTCTGTGGTCGTACTATATATATATTTCTCCATCAAAAAAGAAAAGCCTAACATACAGAGACGGGTGATTCTTTATTACATTGAAGAATGCAGAGATCACAGGTTACCTGAAATCATGATACTGTCTTAAGAAATATTGGGAGCATTATTTCATTATATCTCTTAGTAAATAAGGAAATCAAAATATTACCTTTTCATTTATATGACCTTAAACATGATCTTTGAAGGTCTGTAAAAGTAACCCCAAGGCACATCCCCCACCCAGGGCAAGCAGATCCCACATTCATTTAGGTGGTACATACCTGCTTATAGCGAAGGGTTCGTCTTTCCAAAGTATTTCGGACAAAGGGGGACTTCCGGGGCAGCGTTGAACTGTCGCTGTCGCTACGATAAAGCTACAGCAAAAAGAATGACATTCAGAAACAACCACTCGGAAATTCAGTATTCCTTCCCTTCTCCTCATGGGCTCTCAAGCACACTTAGGAGTTGTGGTGTTTTTACCAGGTCTTCGGGTTTCAGTTAAAACAAGAGTTTTGGGGAAAATGAAAAACAAAACATACAAAACCCTCACCCAGATTCCAGGCTAATCAGTCAACAGTCTCCATCTTGTCAATACCAACTACAACTTGGTATCAAGCACACTCCCAGGAATGCCAGCACTGCCCTCAGGGTCTCACTTTTTATCAGTCTCATCTGCTGTATTTCTGCCTTTGACCAGAGCTGGAAAAAAATGACTTTCCAAAAAAGATACTCACTCCTGTTGGTAGGATAAGTCAACATCACCAGCTGCCGCTGTGCTGGTCAAGGACAAGGTCTGCTTTTAAAAAGGAAAATAGGGTCAGGCATGGTGGCTCATGCCTGTAATCCTAGCACTTTAGAAGGCCAAGGTGGGAGGACTGCCAGGAGTCTAGGAGACCAGCCTAGGCAGCACAGTGAGACCTCGTCTCTACAAAAATTCAAAATATTACTCAGGTGTGGTGGCACACGCCTATAGTCCCACCTACTTGGGAGGTTGAGGTGGAGGGATCACCTGAGCCCAGCAGGTCCAGGCAGCAGTGAGCCATGATTGTGCCACTGCACTCCAGCCTGGGTGACAGAGTGAGACTTTGACTTAAAAAAACAAACAAATAAACTAACAAACAAATAAACAAAGGAAAATAGGTCAGGTGTGATGGTTCCTGCCTGTAATCCCAGTACTTTGGGAGGCTGAGGCAGGAGGATCACTTGCGGCCAGGAGTATGAGAACTCATTTAGGAAAATAAAGAAGGCCTTCACTATGGGAGCCAAGTCACTGTGGGCTTCACTTGGTGGCAGAGACCCACCTCAGGATCAATGTGCATCTGTGGGAGAGCCACCATCTTTGCCTGCCTGGCCCTACCTTCTAGGCCAATTAACTTGACATACTTAGAACATTCAGAGGCCTGGCAGTTTACCTGCCTTACATTCATACACACACACATATAATACAAACCATGAAGCATTGCCAATAAGCACAAGCTGTTACGCAGGACAGAGTACATACATGAGGCAGCGACCTTCCTCTGGGTAAGCAACGCACTCCCTCTTTTCCACCCTCTCCTCAATAAGCAGCCTCAAGTCTGCACCTTGGTGGCTTGCTGAGCAAGGAGGGCCATGAAGATGGCCTTCAATCTAAAACATCTGGTCACTCGCTTCAGTATCAGTCTCCACAGGGCTGAAGTGTGATGGGGCAGGAGGGCAGCCACCACAGGGACACTTCAGAATGTGGGGACGATAGCAGCGGGTCTTGCAAATATGGCAAAGGGGCAGTTTTGGCCATCCAAGCCCACACCATGGCTGTTCACTCCTGTGCAGTTAAAGGAGTCATCCTGCTCCAAGAAAAGTCCCTGCCCAGCTCCTAGGGGGTAGCCTCTAAGGCCCTGGAATGTTCTGCCTGGTCAGAGTGCCTCTGTTTGCCTGGGGACCTCAGGCCAGTCGCATAGTTTGTGCTAACAATGTGACTCATGTGGGGGCCTTGGGCCATCAGCTTGACCTCTGGAGAGGCTGGAGACTGAAGTCATCCATGCAGGCTACCAGACCAGCCTACATGATCACTGCTCCATCAAAACCCTGGACACCAAGGACTGGGTGAGCACATCCTTGGTTGGCAGCATTCCATGTGTGCGGTCACCATCGTGACTGGGGGACATAAGGGCTGTTGGCACCACTGCACTGGGAGAGGACCAGAAGCTGCCACCTTCTGAATGCTGTCCCCTGAGCCTCTTCCCTCTGCTGCCTTTAGTCTGTGCCCTTCACTGTCACAAGTCATGCCTGGGAACACAATGGTGTCTCTGAGTTCCCTGTGTCCTAGCCAATTATCACACCTGAGGTGGGGCCTGGGGACCCCTGAACTACAACTCCCCGTGTCTCTTTCGAGGACCTGAGGACTTTTTCCCTCCAATGATCTGACTTGGTTCTGCACCCATGGAGCCCGCTTCTGGGCAGCCCCACTCAAAGACAGGGGCTTTCTCCAACAGCCCCAGTCAGAGGCCCTCCTCAACCCAAACAGCCCCTCTGGGCTGCTGTGTCATGACCAGTCATCCTTGAAAGCCCTCTCTAAGTCCATGCTGTCACTGTCACACTGCCACTGTCTGTCAACCTCCAACATCCTGTCTTGCCTTCAATGACCACACGGCTCAGGTCTCCCCTCTGCCTGCCTCAGGGATATCAGCCTTGCACTGGAGAGTTAGATGGCTTTTCCACATTAGAACCATCTAGGAGCTTCCAAACGTTCTGATGTCCAGGCCCCACCCATGACCAATGGCAGATCTCAGGGTGGGACTTGGGCACCAGCATCTGATGAAGTCCCCCAGCACGACTTGATTGCAAGGTGAGGCCACGGCTGAGAACACTGAGTGTCTTCTGCCACCACCCCGCAGGCTGGAAATATACCCTGAGCCCACCCTCTCCTCCAGTGACACAGCTGCACTGCAGGGTTCCTAACCACCCAGGCACCTGGCTTTCCCATCTCACTCAGGACAGGCCCCGTTTCCACTTGCTCCCTAGGCTGATGTAGAAATGATTCGCCCTGCTTCCTGACCACGAGTTGGCACAGACATGGTGCTGAAAGTCTGGAGGAGAAATGAATAGAATCCTGGAGAAGTCCAGAATTCAATGAGCATGACAAGAGTGTGGGAGGTGACCAACTTCATCTCCACATGCTGATAGTGTCCACTGATGGCTACTACTTGTGAGAATACACATTACTCATGCCTTTGAGCATAAATAGTAACAAATAAAACACAACAAGGAGGACAGAAAAGAAAACGTTCCAGACAGGTGGCAAAGAAATTCCAACTTACTCTGCAAACATACTGGCTTCGTGCTCCAGGAGAGAAGGTCTGAGAACGGACGATCGTGCTACTCCGGACAAAAGGTGACCCTCGGGCCCGGCGACTGGGCCGCTCCTTCAGAAGACTCGCCGCTTCTTCTGGGAAGAGATCTTCTGTGTTGGTTTCCTTGTCAACCTAGGGAGTACTTCACTTATGACCATGGCTTCTTCCAGAACACAGGCAATCAACTTAAGGGAAACAACTACTTCTGACTTTACTTGGAAGTTTTACTGGCATGTCACACGTCACATGTCCCCAGTGGAATTGCAGATATCCATCCCCTCAACTCCTCACAGGGATCTCTACTTCCCGTTTGTTTATGCAAAAACCGCCTTAGTACCATCCTGGACTCCAACCCCTTTCGCACACCCCATCTCTGGTCTAAGAGCAAATCCTCTCGGCTCTATGTTCAAGATCAAGTGGGTTTTGAGCACTAGTCAGCAACCCTTCACCCAAACTGCCATCATCCTAGCTCAGTGCAGTAGGTGTCTCACCCATCTCCCCATTTCTACACCTCCCTGCCCTTCAATCTGTTCTCAACAAAGCAACCAGGGAGATCCCAGGAAACTGAAGTCAGTCCCTGCAGTTCCGCTCCTAGGTCTGTACTCAAAAGAACTGAAAACAGATGTTCAAATGCTATACACGAATATCTGTGGCAGCGTGACTCAAAAAGCCAAAAGGTAGAAACAGTGCCTCTCAGAAAAAAAGCCTGATTGGCCAGACATGATCTGGCCCTTTCACTCCCCCTGTCCTCAGTGCCACCATGTCCCCTCCCCACCGGCTGTTCCTGTGCCTGACCACCTTCTCAGTAAAGTCTCCTATGATCTTGCTTTTTAAAAAAAATTGTGGTGAAATATATATAACAAAACTCATCATATTAGCCATTTTTAGGGTACAGTTCAGTAGAATCTATTCACATTGTTATACAACAGGTCTCTAAAACGTCTTTATCTTGCAAAACTGAAACTCAGTTCCCATTAAACAACAACTCCCCCTTTCCTCTCCCCCCAGAGCACTGACAGTGGTTTCCAGCATCACTGGGTTCCTCCAACATTTGTCACCATAAGCATGCAAGATTTCTCCCCTGATGATATGGTAACAAGCACACCTAAGATCAGAGGCCCAGAAGGGACAAAAGGATGCATTGTAGTTTTTTGGTTTTTTTTGAGTTGGAATCTCACTCTGTCGCCTAGCCTGGAGTGTCGTGACATGCTCATGGCCACCCCAGCATCGACCCCTATTGGGCTCAGGTGATCCCTCTGCCCCAAACTTCTAAGTAGCCGGAACTACAGGCGCGCACTACCATGCCCAGCTAATTTATTTAAATTTATTGTAGAGATGAGGTCTCGCCAAATTGCCCAGACTGCTCTCGAACCCATGGGCTCAGGCTATACCCTCACCTTGGCCTCCCAAAGTGCTGGGATTACAGACAAGCCACCATACCCAGCCCACAGTACTTAATGTCACATCTTTGTGTGGAAGAGGAACTGGAACCATCTATAACCTTTGGAACAGTGGCAGAAGTACCCAGTGAAACTGTTTCTTTCCCACAACTGAAGACAGCTGCATTTCTGAAGAACTTCCAGAACTTCACTTGCCCCTGACAGTGAGAATGGCTCACCATATAAGGGCACATGAGGGAGCAAAAGCTGGGGGACTTCTGTAGTGTCGTTGTCCTCTCCTTGTCATCTATAGTTGACAGCCATTTCTCTAGCACCTGCCGTGCCCACTTTGAGCCCTTTACAGATCCTAGGGCATTCACTTGTTTTCCTCACCATGTAGTACAATACGGCCTTAGCTGTCCCCTCACATCCAACAGCAGAGTCTACTTTATACCACAGCGTCCCCATGTACCACAACACCCAGGCCACTGGGAGTGTCTGCAAGTTGGCCACGTGGTTCTACACCATGTGTGAGCCCATCGATTCTGGTTTCCTTGAGTGCATCTCCTCCATCTATCCCCTCACTCTGCCCATGAAGGATGTGGGGGTACAGCCTCTCCTTCCAGGGTAGTACCCGGGATCCCACAGGAAGATGTTGGGGGGCTCCGTAAAATCCCTTGATGTTTTCTACTTACCTTAAGAGGTGGGGGCTGACATTTCTCAGGGCTGTAAGTCTCTGCCTGACCAGTGAACGTGTGTCCGAGGATGGAGTCAACACCGACACAACAGGGCTCAGGGTACAGGGGGCTGGTCTGGGTGCAGTTGCTACAGCCACTGTCTACCGAGTCAGCTTGCCAACTCCTAAAAATGGACATGCAAAGCCCACAGTGGCAGAAGTACCCAGTGAAACTGCTTCTTTCCCACAACTGAAGACAGCTGCTTTCCTCATAAAGTAAAAGGGCATTTCTGTTTTCTAGAGAAGACAGCTCATTAAGGGCTTTCACCAAGAGGGTGTTGCCTTTCTTTATCACCCCACTGCAGCCCCTGGAGATGCCAGAAGACCACCCTCCCAGCCCAAGCCCCTCCCAGCTTCCTGTCCATCCCTGAACACAATGCCCACCCCCTGCCATGCACTGGCCTTCCTGAAAACAAATTCCTCTCAAAACCAAAGTCACGAAAACCCCTGGGAAGATGCAGGACACTTTGAAAAGATGATGCTCTCTACAGAAAGATGTGGAAGTAAAGCAGTACAACAGCGCCCCCAGAGGAGACTGGCAGGAGCCAGTTCACCTGACTATGTTCACCTGACTACATCTCCAACTTACACAGGTCTCACCCGCAGGCTGCTGCAGGAAGGCACACAGGGACACTGCGTGATGCCAGCTATAGGAAACGTCCAGAACAGGCAAACCCACGAGACAGAGAGCAAGTTCGTGCTTGCCAGGGGCCGGGGTGAGCTTTCTCTCTGGCATGATGAAATGCTCTAACATTTACTGGGTGATATTGGCACGCTCTGTGACTGTCCTCAAAAGCACTGAAATGTGCGCTTCAAGTGGGTGAACTGTATGGCAGGTACATTATGCTTCAATATACCTGTTCAAAAAATCCAACAACTTCAAGGGGCCTTACTGTACCCAATCCATGCGGAGGGGAGTCACCCAACAGCCTGCTCTTGAAGAGAAATTCCAGCACAGAAGGAGAAAGTGAAAGCCTGCATGAGAACTAGGTGAGAACTCAAGGTGAGGCCTCGCTCAGATCAGCACCATCCCTGCCAGAATCTCAACTTCTGGGCAATGACACCGAAAATTACCTAGCACATTCTACAGGAAGTGGATAAGAAAAACAATTGCACCTCAGAGAACCATGGCCTGACATTCCAGCTGCCTCCCTGAGAAAACACGCTCATCCCCCTGCTGGTTTGCAAGAACCTTCTTCCACCCACTGGGCATCCATGCTCCTTTGCGGCGGGGAGGACGCAGGCTGGAGCCCACCTGCCCAGAGCTGGCTCTTACCGCTCAGACACGGCCTCAGCCTGCTCCTCCTTGTGCTCCATCTCCAGAACTTCCTCCTCTGTGTACTCCAGCTTGGCTCGCTCCTCGGCCAGCTCCCTCTCCACCGCCTGCAGCTGCGCCGTGGTTCTGGCCAGCAGCACTGTCACCGCATCCTGCGGGAGGAAAGGGCGCGTGTGAGGACAGCCCAGGCAGACAGCTCCCACGCACACATGGCAGGCAGTGGCACGAGGAGGGCAGGTGGCCATACTGTGTGGGCAGGTGGCCACACCTCATGGGCAGGTGTCTACACTGCTGCCCTTCTGGGGGAAGAAACCCACTCTACTGCTTGTGGTGAGACATTCACATGGCCCATTCCTGTAGCTCAGAAGATTCAAATGCACCACCATGACCATGACTACACTTGCATTACGAAGCATTCTCATGCCATGGCCGTAAGAATGGACATGTTCCACATTTGTTACTTTCCTGGAAACTCTACTTATCACCACTACATCCTACTTTAAGTCTACACAGATGCTTCTGAGAAACAATTTCCCCAAGTAGAAGCCAGTCTCAGAGTCATAAGAGCAGCAGTGACGGGTTCCTTAGACCAGAGCCACATACCGTCTTGCCGGAGATGGAGACGGTGAGTACAGGGTCCCGGGCAGAGCCCTCTCCCACACGCCCGGGCTCCCTGGTCCTCGGTGGTTCGGAGCTGGTGAACACTTGGACAGAGTGCCAGCGCAGCTGCATCTCACTGGAACTGTCATAGTCGGCCAAGTTAATCTGAGCAATGCCCTGCAGGGGTGTTACATGGAAAAAAGCCAGAACAGGCACTGCATGATTTCACCATAGCAACTAGAGTCTTTTAAAACACCAAGTACACCCTTCCATCTTAATTTAAAAAGACAGAAAATGTCCCATCCTTGTGGAAAGGGCTACAGCACAGTGACAGTAGTCACAGAGGATCCTAATGGGCGTGGCTTCCTAGTCACTTGTTCAGTCCCATCAGAAAGTGCTGGAAAGGGAACAGGGGCAGGGAACAGGGGCAGAAAACGGGCAGCCTGGAGTGCCATGTCGGCCTCAGGGCTCTGCCACTCAATAGTCACTGATTCTCCTGGGAACTTCTGAGCTCAGAGAACACTGGCTCAACCCTACACTCCCTCACTCTGCCACTGAGAGCACAGAACTAGGGGAAATGCCAACCATGGGAAGAAACCAGCTGGGCTTCCACACCCTGGCCTGGGCACTGGACAGCTGGGGGCACTAACAGCAAGCTGCTGAGTCTCTCCAGGTCCTGGCCTCAGGTTGCTGGATACAATACCCAGCAGCCAGGGAAACTGAAATTTCAAATTAACAATGGAGTGCTAAAATGTAAGTCTCAGATCTTGCATAGCATGTCCACGTGACCATCCCACATTCTTATTTGCTAAACGTGTCAACCCTACTTCCTTTCCTAGACTGAAAATGGGGAGAATATGGGGGCTAGTTCTTGGGGACCTGCAAGTATCTGTTGAGATAATGCCTTTAAAGTAGAAAACGTTTAACAAGACCATTGTTTTGATCATTCCTTTCTGTACTCCCAGCTACAGAGACCACTTGACACCACGACAGTTTCTAGGTAGCCCCCACAGGAAAAAGAAAGGATAGAAGGGAGGAGGGGGGAAGGAGATGGTGGAAAGAGGAGAGGGATGAAGGGAGGGAGAGGGAAACATAGACAAAAGACAGAAAGACAAAAAGAAATGATGACTAAAGGATAAAAGACAAAGAAAGTGACAAAGGAAGGAAAGAGACAGGCACACAGATGAAGAGACTGATGGACATGCAAAGCAAGGAAAGGGGAGAAGGAGGGTAGCGCCTGGCTCATACCAGCAGTTCTTCCTGCAGCTGCAGATTCACTGAACACACATACAATTGAAGCGACTTCAATGTCAACACGCTGGAATGCACAGGGATTCGGAAAACTTCATTAAATACCAGCGGTGCTTGGAATTCCAGGGCCTTGGAGCAGTAGGTGCTAGGTGTGCCTGAGTCCAGCGGGGGCAAATAGACGCGGATATGGCTGAAACCAGAATGGGGGAGGGAAGAGTGCATGCAGGCGGTGCTTACTGACCACACAGTGGGAGAGCAGGTGGAGCCCACGTGCGTAGACCCACTTGTGCTGCACTTCTGCCAGTAGAGTTTTGGAATCCTTTGGGAAAAGTTCCTTTCTCTACTGAGTAATCCCAAAGGATGAATGTCTGTCCCCCATGGGGCGCCTGTGTTTCCCGCCCTTCTTCCAACCCAGCACTGTCACCTGGGAGGGGCTCAGAACACCCATGAGCCTGCAAATACCATCAGGCAAGCCAAGGCTAGATGAGTCCTCAGCTGCTCAAACCCAGGGCTCCCAAGGCCTGTAGGAGATGTGTTCGCAGAGGAGACTCCCGGGAGGGAGGTTCACTCTGGCCATTACTGGTGTGGTCACCCGAATGCCCCTCCATGGGGCACCTACTATGGAGGCCAAAGTCACCAGGCGACTCCCAAAAGGTCCCAATGCATGTTTTCTTCTCCCCTCAGCCGAGGGCTCCCTAATCACAGCCAGAGGCCTCTTAAGGTACATCATAGGATCACAGAACAGAGAACTGACTATTGCATTGCCACCACCTGTCGCTGCAACCAAGAAAATGTTTTCAGTCAATACCACCAATGACAGCTAGTTACTTCCTCAGCCTCAGATAACTCACTAGACTCTTCTTAAACCTTCCAAGACTTCATAATGCGAATGCACATTCCCCAGGGTCCTACTGCAGATCCGCCCTCCTGCCTGACCCGCCCTCCCACTGTTGTCTGGCTTCCACCACTGTCTGGCTTACACTCTGCAGTCTTCCTTCAGCACCAGAGCAGCAGGGTTTCTTAGCTGCAGCACGTGCACCAGCAGACATTCGTTGGCACTGTCACGCCTGGAAAGCAAACACGAGCTCAGGACAGCAAGGTCCCCATGGGGAGAAGTCCTTCTGGCTGACTACACAGCAGCTTTCCACCGATGGGGATCGTGCCACTCTGCCACTGTGCCCATCTGCAGTGTCTGGACACACCTTTTCTTTTTATGTCAGGGGAAAGTGTGAACATAGTCCCCCCTGCCACAGATAATGCAGTTGAACTTCCTACATTTGGAGGACGTCACAGGGATCAGCACGTCCAGGTGCAATGATGAGCCTCACCTTGGCTAACCCCTCTTGTGATCACAGCACCTCCCCTGCCAAGTAAGTGTGGAGACGTTTTTATTGTTACAACTGGACATTTCACAGTACACAACAGAAGCCCCGGTACAAAGAGTGATCTAGTCACAGGTGTCAATGGTGTCAGAGCTGGAATAGAGAGTCAGCAAAGGACCCACTAGGGGCTGAGTGCCCTGCCTTGCTAGCGTGGACACTGCAGCTACTGCCTTGGTTGAAACCGTAACTAGAAATCAAAAAGCATGGTGCTGCAAACTGCCTGTTACTCACTCTGGGGGCCAGGGAAGGACCCTGCTACCTGTGCAGCAGAGGACAATCAACTCGTGTAATCATGTCCCCAAGAGCCTCACCTTGCCAGACCATTCAGTACCATGCAGGTTAAGGTCCCTAATCCCAAAGCTCTGTGAGGTAACTGCTCCAAGCTGTGAACCTCAGTGGTGGAAGATAGCAATGGAGCTGCTTTTCCATGTCACTTCTTCCTGACACCTCAGTCCCCTCCGATGAGACAGTGATGAGAGTATCAAGGACAGCACCCAGGTCACATGGGTCCCCCCCGCCCTACAGAGCAGCTCAGGTGCCTCTGCACTCACAGAAGTCCCACATGGATCTGGGGGTCCTCGCTCCCGCAAGCATCTCCGTAGGCAGGCTCCTCAGCATCCTCGCTCCTTAACACAAGGGGAAGTCATGCTTTATTCCATAGGGCTGAGTACTGCAGGCTCTGTAGGGGCACTCCCGTGGTAAGAGAGAGCTTTATGATGTTTCCACACAAGTACATGATGGCTGACGAGGCATGGCAGTCCCCAGGGCCTACAAGGTATCCCTTCGGGTACCTGCCTGCAAACTACTGCTTCTTTCTCATAACGCTTTTTGATTTAAGAAAATAACCACATACCTTTCAAAACCGTATGTGATACACAGGAAAATGTTCAAAATTAACTTTTCAATTAAAAAGCTTGTGATACGTGAGATGCCTCAGGGATACCTGAGATTTATAAACATACAAAGAAACAACACCACCAAAGACGTCCAACCAAAGGCAGCACAGTGATGTGTGCTCAAAACTCCAGCACTTTGGAAGGCCAAGGTGGGAGGATCACTTGAGGCCAGGAATCTGAGAACAGCCTGGGCAACATAGCAAGACCCCCACTGCTACAAAAAATTTTTTTTGATCCATCAGGGGCTATGATTCATGCCTGTAATCACAGCTACTCAGAGGCTGAGGTGACAGGATCGCCTGAGCCCAGGAATTTGAGGCTGCAGTGAGCTATGACTGCCCCACTGCACTCCAGCCTGGCAACAGAGCAATGCCCTGTCTCTAAAAAAAAGAAAGAAAGAAAAAAAAACTCTTTAATAAAAACACAGAGTTCCAGAAAGGGTTTTGTCATCAGAAACTGATTCCCACAAGCTAAGGAAGGGAGGAGGGAAGAAGGATATTCATTCCTAATGACATCCTTCCCAGAAAAGCAGCTCTCTCCCGCACATTCACTCTACTTTTTCGGCTCTATTGGGTCTAATTAAGCCTTGGACCCACGGGGACAGGGAGGAAGAAGTCATTCTAGAACATGGAGGCCAGAGGAGTTTTCTTGGCAAGTTTCTAAGGCTCAACCTCCCAAAGCTGACAGAAGGTAGAAAAATATTCTACCTCTGGATATATCAACTGAGTTTCAATGTATAAATGTTATGGATGGATCCTTCTGGGTTAGACAGCAGCACTGTGGGAAGCCTGCTTGGGGGAGGAACTGAGATCTACATCTAACCTTTTGGTCAGAGGTTCAAACACCCCACTGTCACTGGCCAACGAGTAATCCGACAGGCATGCAGAGATGCGGCGCGCTCTCCTCTCCAGTCGCTTGGCACTGTCTTCTCGAAGAGTCACGGCTGCAAATAAGGGACACACCCAGGGTCAGGACATGACAGCATGGGAGGCCAGGGACTCCGTGCCAGAGTACGTGCTGAGTCATGTGCAGATACTCTGTGTTCAGCTTGTCTTAAATATTGAGCAACTGAAGAAGTAGACCTCTGGCTACTTCTTTGAGAGCATTAAGACTGTCTAGAAAGACACCTGGAATCAGACATCCCTTTTCACTCAAACCCCACGAGCACACAGGATGTGAGATGATGGTAAGATGCCCCTTTGGATGGCACTTGCAGAAAGACCTTCATACCCAGAAGACCACAAAAGCAGCACTGGCCTGTGTGGGAACAGCAGCTGCGTTCTCCAAGGGGTGGTGTTTTCATTCCTTTCTCTACATTGTTTGGTATTTTCTACAACTTATACAAGAAATATATGCAGCACTGCTTTTATACCCATAAAAATCCTCTCTCATTACCCAAACAAACCCTAACAAAATGGAATGACCTTCAAAGCACATGACACAGCTGATCACAGGCTCGTCCTCCTGAGAGCCCTGTGGCTCTGAGGGTGCTGGGGCCCATCCAGCTGTCTTAGAGACTGAGATAGCCTTCCAAGTTGCCCTGGGTCAGATCTGCCACCTTGGTGGCTCTCCCGCTTGGACACTGACTACTGTTAAGGGCAGCTCATTTATCTTTCATATCTACTTTAACCAAGAGTCAAAGACAACCCCTGGAATTTTCCCTTTAATGGTTCATCTACTGTTCCTACCCATTCCCTCACTGTGGTAGGTATCTTTCAACAAAACCAACAGAAACGTGCATGCCACCTTCTACACTCAATGTGGATGTGTACACCGGCATTACAGTGCTTTCCAGAAAGGTGCATGCCATTAGAACACAGAGTCAAACAGGATGTTCCCAGTGGGCCTCTGACACCACGGGGCCTGCTTGGAAGAAAACAGTTCCCTGTGTTGCCTATACTTTTCTTTGTCTATCTCAGCTCTGTAGACAACCACTTTCTGTCAGACCAAGTTATCATTCTCACCAAGAAACACAAACATATTCAACAGTATACAGAACAGACAGGGTTGTAGCCTCTGGGCTTGCAATGTTAACTGGAGACCAAAGCAAACCTTCCAGAGGCCTGCAGTGCCATGCCTGCAGGACTCTGTTTCTCCCAGGTCAGCCAGGGCTGGAAGTTGGTCCTGTCCTGGGGTGGCCAGAGGTACCAACTCTCAAATTGTAGGTCAGAACTTCCGAGTCCACCTCCCTCCTTCAGCCCTGCCACATGGGAGAACCCAAACTCCTGGCCCTGAATTGCAAACAGAACCCCCTAGCAGAGAATACTGATTGCTACTGTTTCTATTCCTAGCCCAGAGTCTGGCACAGCCCCTGGATGCAGCTGTGGATCCCTGGAAGGAAGTGGCAACAGGACACTCCTAAGCCTCCCAGCTGAGCTGACCCCAGGTGCAGGGCTAAGCATGTCTCTCTTGTCACTACCACGGAAGTCGATGAACAGAAAAAGGAACTTAAGGAGAGAGTTCTCACTGAGCCCACGCTGAGTCACTGAGTTCACAGGGCCACCAGAAGCAGGAACTGCTGAGAGGAAATGCCACTGACAAGTGCCCCAGTGAGAAAAAGCACAGGAAGCCCCCACACTCCACACACCAGATACCTGCCCCTGGCCTTCAAGGCACTGAGGCGGACCATGCCAGCAATGCCAACAAAGAAGGAATAAGATGTCCCACAGTTCACTTAAAAATTTCTCACCTTATAATCATTGAAAATAGACAGACAGACAGACAAACAGACAGGAACTGAGCCCCAAAGACATGAAAGTTGCTTGATAAAAAGGCAAAAAATCCAATGAAAACCACATTGTGGTCAAAGCTGCCTGTTGGCATATTAGAATAATGAACTCTATTAAGTGCTGGAAATAAACACACAGAGAGGATAATTGTTAAAGCTTTTAGAAAAGTTCTTACACAACTTTAGTAGCCATCATGAATATTGATGTTGAGATCACAATAACAACAACTGACAATTGACACTAAAGTACAAATGAGACACACCCTTCTTAGCCACAGCCTGAGCAATGATGGTGATGAGGAGACTCCCAGGGCCACTTACAGTGAGCACTTCTGTTGAGCCACATGGGAAGAGATTAAAAAGGAAAGCACAAATTAAAAAATATATTCAGAATTTAAGACAATTTTAAACAATATGATCATAATAAAAACAGCAATAAATAGATGAGCCAAGTCAAGCTTTCAATGGCTTTTGACCAACCAATGCAAATGGGTAGACGAGAAAATACTTCAAAATCATGACACACTTGACTTTTAAAATCCAGGGAAGACAGAGCTGTGGCAAAAACGTAAAAAGTGTCCAAGATTCCTCCATCCTGCCTTTTGCCTCTCCCAATTGGCTTAAAACATAACAGAAGAAATCATTCACAGAGCTTGCTCTGTGGGTCTGGACAGTTTTGATTTTTGTCTTACTAAAATTCTGTCCTACTAAAACTTGTTTGGGGCCAAATTTATATGACACTGTTCTCAGCACAACTAGTAAATAATGGGGCAGGGATGATGTGACAAATGCCAAGATCTGACTTTGTGAAGCTAAGAGGACTCTGGGCTCAAGAGCTCCCACAAGCATCAAGGGAGACAAGGATCCTCCTGTGTCTATGCCTCAAGCTGGTTACCTAACCCAGTCTTCTGGGAGCACCCAAAGGGTCCCCTTAACTGGATCAATTATTCCAAGTTTCTAAGAACACTGACTTCAATGTGTCCTTAGAACAACAACATGTAAGAATTCGCCACCAGGCGGCAGTGTTATTTTTTTTAAATTCACCAATGTAACTTAAGAACCTACCACCAGGTGGCAGCATCATCCAATAACTCACCACCTATGCAATATAAGAATCTGCCACAAAATGGCAGTAGTATACAAGAAACCACCACCAATGCAATATTAGAACCAATTAACTGGATCAGTTATTTCAAGTTTCTAAGGACATTGACTTTAATGTGTCCTTAGAACGTCATGTAAGAATTCATCACCAGTGGCAGTGTTGTTTTAAAAAGAATTCACAAATGTAACATAAGAACTTACCACCAGGTGGCAGCATCATCCAATAATCCACCACCCATGCAATATAAGAATCTGCCACAAGATGGCAGTAGTATACAAGAAATCAGCACCAATGTAACATTAGAACCAATTAACTGGATCAATGATTCCAAGTTTCTAAGGATATTGACTTTAAAGTGTCCTTAGAACAATGTCATGTAAGAATTCACTACCATGCAGCAGTGTTGTTTTTTAAAAAAATCACCAATGTAACAAGATTTCAATGTGTCCTTAGAACAACATCATGTAAGAATTCACCACCGGGTGGCTGTGTTGTTTTAAAAAAATTCACCAATGCTGTTTAAGAACCTGCCAGTAGCAGTGTTATCGAATAATCCACCATCCATGCAATATAAGAATCTGCCACAAGATGGCAGTGCTATATAAGAAGTCAGCACCAATGTAATATTAGAACCAATTAACTGGATCAATGACTTCAAGTTTCTAAGGACATTGACTTTAAAGTGTCCTTAGAACAATGTCATGTAAGAATTCACCACCAGACAGCAGTGTTGTTTTAAAAAAAAAAAAACTCACTGATGCAACAAGATTTCAATGTGTCCTCAGAAGAACGTCATGTAAGAATTCACCACCAGGTGGCAGTGTTGTCTTAAAAAAATTCACTAATGTTGTTTAAGAACCTGCCACCAGGTGGCAGTGTTATCCAAAAAATCCATCACCTATGCAATATAAGAATCTGTCACAAGATGGCAGTGCTATACAAGAAACCAGCACCAATGTAATATTAGAACCAGTTAACTGGGACCAATGATTTCAAGTTTCTAAGGACATTGACTTTAAAGTGTCCTTAGAACAATGTCATGTAAGAATTCACCACCAGGCAGCAGTGTTGTTTAAAAAAAAAAAAAAAACTCACTGATGCAACAAGATTTCAATGTGTCCTCAGAAGAACGTCATGTAAGAATTCACCACCAGGCGGCAGTGTTGTCTTTAAAAAATTCACCAATGTTGTTTAAGAACCTGCCACCAGGTGGCAGTGTTATCCAATAATCCATCGCCCATGCAATATAAGAATTCGCCACAAAATGGCAGTGCTATACAAGAAATCAGCACCAATGTAATATTAGAACCAATTAACTGGATCAATGATTTCAAGTTTCTAAGGACATTGACTTTAAAGTGTCCTTAGAACAATGTCATGTAAGAATTCATCACCAGGTAGCAGTGTTTTTCAAAAAACTCACCGATGCAACAAGATTTCAATGTGTCCTCAGAACAACGTCACGTAAGAATTCACCACCAGGCGGCAGTGTTATCTTTAAAAAATTCACCAATGTTGTTTAAGAACCTGCCACCAGGTGGCAGTGTTATCCAATAATCCATCACCCATGCAATATAAGAATTCGTCACAAGATGGCAGTGCTATACAAGAAATCAGTACCAATGTAATAGAACCAATTAACTGGATCAATGATTTCAAGTTTCTAAGGACATTGACTTTTAAGTGTCCTTAGAACAATGTCATGTAAGAATTCATCACCAGGCAGCAGTGTTGTTTTTCAAAAAACTCACCGATGCAACAAAATTTCAATGTGTCCTCAGAACGTCACGTAAGAATTCACCACCAGGCGGCAGTGTTGTTTAAAAAAAAATTCATCTATGTTGTTTAAGAATCTACCACCAGGTGGCAGTGTTATCCAATAATCCATCACCCATGCAATATAAGAATTCGCCACAAGATGGCAGTGCTATACAAGAAATCAGCAGCAATGTAATATTACAATCTACCACGAGATGGCAGCATTAAACAAGAAATCAGCATCCATGTCATATAAGAATTCACCACCAGATGGCAGTATCATACAAGAAATCACCACCAATGATACATAAAAATCCACCACCAGATGACAGTGTATAATGTGTAAGCAAATACTTCCAGTATAAGTAGTTAGAATCCCACTATAATGCCCGCCAGAGTGGGAGTGAATTAGGATCTCAAATTAAGTCAGCTCTTCTCCCTCCCTCCCTGTCTTTCCTCTGGCCCTAAAGGGCCCTTGGGCCTAGTGTGGACTTTATGCAAAACCAGACTGACATTCCTGAGTCTCATCCTTTTTAAGAAGTTGATGGAAGTGGAGGGAGACCAAGAGAAAAGAGAAAGTAAGCTTAAGCAATGACAGACACACAATTCAGTCCTGACTGTGGATTATTCTTTTTTGACTGAAAGGAGTAAACATGGGTTAATGAACCTATGACTACAGAGCATAAAGCAAGTAAGATTACCTGCACGTGTGGATGATAGAACAAGTATCAGGGATGTGAAAGTGAGTTTGCACAAAGGGGAAGACACCAAGATAAATGGATGTCAAAGAGCTCTGGGGTAGCCCCAGAACATGTTAGCCTATGTACACTGTTACAAACTACTATTTTAATTTTTTTAGTCAAAGTCTCACTCTGTCACCCAGGCTGGAGTACAGTGGCACAATCACAGCTCACCACCGCCTCGACCTCCTGGGTTCAGGTGATCCTCCCTTCTCCTTCCTTGGCCTCCCAAGTAGCTGGGACTACAGGTGCATGCCTGGCTAATTGATTTATTTTTAAAATTTTTTTTGTAGAAATGAGGTCTTATTATATTTCCCAGGCTGGTCTGTTCTCAATCCTCCAACCTCTGCCTCCCAAAGTACTGGGATTAGAGGCATGAGCCACCACACCTGGCCTCAGATGACTATTTGACAGAGCAATTGATTGATTGATTGACCTACCTATTGATTAATCTATTTAATGAATCTAGCCCATGGGCAACAGAATGATAGTGGATGGAAGAGACCATAAAGATCACCACGTTCAAGGGTGGTGATGGTGAGAGTCAAGTCCAGGGAGGCAGCCAACAGGGCAGGGAGCAGAATCCTGGTTTCCCAGGGGCTAGTCTGCATCCATAACAGCACAACAGTTCTGTATTACAGCTTTATTTCTGCCCTTGGCTGCATAAATACTCAATAGTATGGCTGATCATTCTTTGTTGTGGTGCTCTCCTGTGCATGGCAGGATGTTTTGTATCACCCTGCCACCCCCAGTAGTAACAACCAAAAATGTCTCCAGACATTGTCAAGTGTCTCCCAAGGGCAGAAGGCAAAATACCCCAGGTTGAGATCCACTATGCTGTACAAGTTATCTAGTGTCTGCTTAAATGGATTGTCAACAACATTTTTGCTGTGCAAATAAAAGTTGATTCAATGGGCTGAATTTCCAGAGTGGAGACCCTGCTCCTGACCCTCTTTAAAATTGAAGGAAGTTAAACAGCATTGCCATGGTTGGCTCAAAGAAGCACACGAGGTCACTGTTCTCACAGGCACGTGGAAAGACAAAGTGCTTCCACATCTGATAGAATTATGCCCTTAAAACTAGGAGGACAGAAGATCAAAAGAATCAAAGCAACAAAGAAAGTAGAGATTTCCACTGGGCTCCAACCCAACCTGAGTCCATGTGCTGGTCTCAGGGCACACACTCTGCAGCATTCTCGAAGGCCGTAGGACATCATCAGCCTCTGAACATGGAAGACCATGTGCTTCTCACCCTGGGTTTCAACAATTACGTACACTCTGAAAACAAGCCAAGTAACCTGGGAAAGACTATGTTGTCAATTTCAACGATCTTCCTCGACACAGACCAGAAGACCACGGCAGTGTGTTCACTCTTCCCAACCATCATATTCCTATGTGTACAGCTCACTCGGGACCTCAAAAGCCAGGTAACCTCAATGCAGTGCACGGGATTTCTCCCGAGTGCCAACTTTGCCTCCCAGAAAAACGTATCAGCACTTACTTCCACCCAGGGGAGCACTGGCCAGCTGGGGTCCTCGCTCATGCAGTCCTTCCCCGTCCCCAGGGAACCCATGTGGCTGAAGGGATGCCGTGCCCTGCAAATCTTCATCCCCTAGAATAGAGGCCTGAACCCGCAGTCTGTCCAGGGCACCCAGGCCTGGCACCTCAAAACTGTCCGTCAGCTGTGCCAGAGGCGAGTCCCGCGAGGCCGGGAGGAAGGGCGTGTCCAGGGGGGAGCTTGGGGGCGACAGCGAGGACAGGGAGGAGCGGGAGGACAGGGACGCCAGGGACTGGGGCGTGTCCAGGGACCGCCTCTGCCTCTGGAAGCCTGAGTGGCCTGGGGGATCTGAGAAGGGGGCATCTCGTCCCAGGGAATCAAAGGGAATCAGATCGAAGCGCAGAAGCTGGCCACACTCAGCGTCGGGCTTCTCATACTGCGGGAGGCCGTAGATGTCCGTGAAGCTGATGGAGCTCAGGGAGCCCCGGCTGGAGGCAAGTGAGCCCCGGCTGGAGGCCAGGGACCCGCGGCTGCTCCCCGAGGACACCGTCAGAGTGCTGGCAGACAGGCTGAAACGACAGAGCGCCATGACCTTAGAGACGCAGCCTGCACTGCCGAGCAGGACTGCTGGCAGCTCCACCAGGGAGCACAGGCTGTCCTCATGTGCCCAAGCCCTGTGGGCATCTCTAACCCTAGTGAGCACTGGGTTAGGCCTTTGTTAACATCCCCCTCTTTTTTTTCTAGTGACAGGAGACCGCTATGGCCACAGCAAAGACCCAAATGTACACTGGCTGGGCACACCTCGTCAAGTTCTTCACCCTCTCTGTGCCTCAACTGGCCCTCTGGGGCCTGGGGTCATAACAGTCCCTACCTCATAAGGAGTGATGAGGAAACCACACATCAAGCCCTTGACACTGCACCTTACAACCCAGCAAGGACTGGAAAACAGGACCTCTTCCTGAGCAACCAAAGCTTAGTTATCTTAAAAATATTCACATCCTTTTAAAAGCCCAAAATAAAGATGTGCACACGCAGATGTGTACCTTAAGAAGTTAGTGATTAGATGACAAAATCGTGGCTTAAGTTTGACTTCAGACTTGTCTTTTACTTGGAAGCCAAATTTGGTTCTCGTATTCCTTGAATCCGTAGCAGCATCGTAAAAAGATGTCTCCCAGGGTCTAGTGTGTGTTTAAGCCATGTCAGTTCCCACAGCCAGCAGGAGAAAACACAAGCTCAACAGAACAATGAGCTCGTGCCTGTGTCACTAGGACATGTGACTCAGCATCGTTCTCCGGGAAGTTACCGACCTTTTCAGCTGGGACTGGAGATAGGATGTCAAGCGAGTGGCCTCTTCCAGCTGCATGAGGAGACAGTTTTTCTTCTCTTGAAGTAGAATCCTGTCGGTAAGAAGAGTCCACAGGGGGATTAGACAGAGTATATTTTCATAACAAGAAATGCAATTATCCATTCCCCACAGCAGATTTTGGTTGGAAACATGGCCAGTTCAAAGCACGCTGTCATAAGTGCCAAGGCAACAAAGACTGCTTTGGCCTGTTTGAAAAGTACATCCATGCTGGGCACGGTGGTTCATGCCTATAATCCCAGCACTTTGGGAGGCAGAGGTGAGAGGATTGCTTGAGCCTAGGTGTTTGAGACCAGCCTGGGCAACAAGGTGAGACCTCGTCTCTACAATAAATCAAAAAATTAGTTGGGCATGGTAGTGCATGCCTATAGTTCCAGCTACTTGGAAGGCTGAGGAGGAAGGATTTCCTGAGCCTGACAGTTTGAGGCAGCAGTGGTCGTAAGCACGCCTGTTCTCCAACAAGTACCATTGTGACTAGAGGCATGACCCAACCCACTCAAAGTGTGGCCCAAGACTCTTTTCAGGGATCCTATGGGGTCCCCTCTTCCCAACTGCATATCCTCAGGATGATCTTCCTGTAATCCCACCTTTTGACTGCCCAGACGCTTAGGAGATGGACAGACATGCCAAATAACACCACCCTTCTCACTGCTTCAAAAAAATTATCAGTCAGAAAAAAGTTGTTTATATGACTACATCATAGAGTTTGTCATCTTTACTGTAAGTAAACATTTAAAGCTACTTGGTAGGCCAGGTTCGGTGGCTCAGTCTGTAATCCCAGTACTTTGGGAGGCCAAGGTGAAAGGACTGCCTGAGCCCGGGGGTTCAAGACCAGCCCAGGCAACTTAGTGAGGCCTCATCTCTAAATCAAAAAGTTAGCTGGGTGTGGTAGCTCATGACTGTAGTTCTGCTACTTTGAAGGCTGAGACAGAAGGATCGCCAGAGCCCAGCAGGTTGACGCTGGGGTGGCCATGAGTATGCCACTGCACTCCTGCTTGGGCTCCTGAGTGAGATTCCAAATCAAAATAAAAATAAAACTAGCTGGGCATGGTGGTGTGTGCCTGTAGTCCCAGCCACTCAGGAGGCTAAGATGGAAGGATCATCTAAGCCCAGGAGATTGAGGCTATGCTGAGCCCTGATTGTGCCACTGCACTCCAACCTGGGCAAGAGAGTGGACCCTGACTTAAAAAACAAACAAACAAAAAAAAACCCTCAAAACTACCCAAATATGTTATCTTATAGATCTGGAGGTCAGAATTCTTAAGAGCAAAGTGTCAGTAGGGCTATTTTCCTTGTGTAAACTCTATGGGAGAATTTATTTTC